CTGGGGACTCAACCCCCAGTTCTTTGTTCTGCATGTCAATGTGGCCAGCTCACAAGGTCAAGATGTTCCCGAGAGACACATATGCTCTAGGCAAATAAACAGGGAAATCTCCATACTGCTTTCCATATTGGCTGCACCAATTTGCAGTCCCACCAGCAGTGTATGAGTGTTCCTTTTTCCCCACATCCTCACCAACACTTATTGTTGTTTGTATGCATAATAGCTGTCATTCTGACTGGAGTGAGATGAAATCTTAGAGTGGTTTTAATGTGCATTTCTCTAATGGCTAGCGATGATGAACAATTTTTTCATCTTCTGAGAAGTGACTATTCAGGTCCTTGGCCCATTTATTGATTGGGTTATGTGGGTTTTTTTGGTGTTTAACTTTTGGAGTTCTTTATATACCCTAGAGATTAGTGCTCTATCTGATGCGTGAGGGGTAAAGATTTGCTCCCAACATGTAGGCTCTCTATTCATCTCACAGATTGCTTGTTTTGCTGAGAAAAACTTTTTAGTTTGGGTCCATCCCATTTATTGATTCTTGATTTTAATTCTTGCACCGAGGGGTTATTATCTTAAAAGAGGGTCATTATCTTAAAAAAAAAGGAGGGGGGCTTGGATTGTGGCTCAGCGGTAGAGCACTCGCCTAGCACATGCGAGGCCCTGGGTTTGATACTCAGCACTACATAAAAATAAATAAATAAAATAAAGGTATTGTGTCCAACTACAACTAAAAAAATGAATATTAAAAAAATGAATAAGTCTAAATAACAAAATAAGTCTAAATAAAAAATGTAGGTCTAAATAAGAGTGATCCAGTCCAGGATCAGGGAGGATGTAGGTAGATGTGGGGACTGTGTGGTGGGGGAAGAGAATAGCTAACTACAGAGTGTTTTTCTGAGTTCAAGATAGATCTGTTAAGAACACACCCTCACTCTCAAGGCAATTGTCAGTGACTATTTCAAAAGCTGAATAGTGTTTATTAAATCAAATCCTCTATATTGAATTCCTAAAGACAGTGTTTTGTAGAATCCCATTGAGTATATTTAAAACAATATCTTGCCTTAGAGAGGAGGAAGATAGGGTAATCCATCATATTGGTTCTTTCCTGCCAAAAAACAGATACCATCTAAAATAAAGGCAAGCCTAGGGCTCAGAGAGAGTTCAAGATCCCTAAACTGTTAAGATAATCCATTATTATTACAGGATGACACCAGTCATGAAAAGTTTATTCTTGCAAAACTGTGCTTTGGGAAGCTTTTACCTTTCCCTTGGATTGATATTCTGGCAAGAATCTAGTTATTAAATTCAACACACAACAATATGATGAAAAAATATTGAGTCCTGAGTGACTTCAAAGACAATAATTATTTTATTTGTGCATTTGGTTAAGCAACTTTAGCTAAGATCAAAATATATAATTAAGTGATATGTGTCTTATTATTATATTAAACTATTATCCATGACTGACTAGAACTTTAAATATTCAGCTGAGCATATATATTCAATTCAGCCTTTCAGTGCTGGTGAAATCCATATAACCTATATATAAAAGGCATGAAAGAGTTAAATGCTTTCAGCAACCCCCTCCCAACATGTGCGCACCAATGGTTCTTTTAAAAGAAAAGATCAGAATTCTGAACGACAGCCTTACCACGAGAGCATTATTTGATGAGGGGGACATGGTAAAGAGCTATAACAGAAGCACCCAAGGAAGTTTTTTTGAGAATAAACTCGAAGAGATCTTTCCTTTATAAAGCCAAGACATCCACAGACTTCTTCTCTCTGAAATAAAGAAGGAGACTCACAGGTGCAATAAGCAGATTTTGAAACTCATGAACCACCTTGCAAAGGCCTTAGCTGAAAGCCCACACATTGGAGGGAGACAAGTGTACAGCATCTCCTGCTGTGCTCTTTACATAGCAATAAAAGTTTGTGAGGAAACCATTCAAAGTTTGTAAATTTCGAACATTTCTGAGTAAAAACTAAAAATTTCCTTTACTGAAAATATTGATTCTAATGAAAGTAGTTCTTTCACATTAGACCACATGTGTGTGCCAGAAAGGAGAATCAGCACCCTCTTTTCAGATCCTTTATTTTAGGAATTCTTCCTAGAGTTCCAAACTGGGATAACATTCCTTCGAGATTTGAGTGGGAAACTATTCTTCATCTGAAAACAATCAAATCCCTACAGGGGGGCAATGTAAAAGCTTAAGTCAGAATTTATATTACCAAAGGAGCACTTGGGAATGGGTGTTGCAGGGGGCTGATGGTAAGAACAGGCTGTGTGGTTCAGTTCTGACTCTTGCAGTTCTAAGCAGGCATGACTTGAGGTGTTAGCAATTCCAGGAAGGGAAGAGAAAGCTCTTCTGGATGGGCTCACACTGTCCACTGCATAACCCTATTTACATGAGAAATATAATTGGCATTTGGGTTGTTGAGCAATATCTCCATTAGGAGAGGGGCAGATTTGCTAATCATAGGGGTGTTAGGAAATTTTTTCCTTCCATAAATTTTAATTATAGCACTTTCATAATCATCTTTTCACAGATGAGGAAACAAATCACTAAAAGGCCATACAGGAAAAATTGGTCTCTGCAAGTGCCCTTTTCTTTTGTTCCTAATAAATTCACTTCCTCAGGCCTCAGATGGACCCTTTTAGGACTGGTCTGTTCAAATCCAGTGACACTTAACCTACTCCACATGGTTCTTCTCCAGGGCCTTAAAGCAATTTTTTCGAATTTCATTCATTCTTCCAGGTTTTACCAAGCCCTACATCCCAGTTCTGATCTCTAGCTACTTTCCAAAATGGTTCTTTAAAAGTCTGTACACAAGTATAAATATATGATAATCAAGCTTTAAAATTTCCTTACCCTTTCTACTTTGTTGCTCCCCCTTTTTTGTAAATTAATCAACAAACTTAATTAAGAACCAGAAGTAGATAGGTAGGTAGATAGATAGGTGAATACTGTTATGGACTAATTGTATTCCTCCCAAATTCAAATCGAAGACTTATCCTTGCTGTAACAGTATTTGGAGATAGGGCTTTAGAGAGGTAATTAAAATTAAGATCATAAGGATGGGCCCCTAATCTAATAGGTCTGTATCCTATAAAAAGAGGAAGAGATACCAGAAATGTCTTTTTCTGTGTGTACATAAAGAAGAGATCATATGAGGACACAGCAAGAAGGTGGCTATCTATAAGCCAGAAAGAGAAAGGAAGAGAGCCCTCCCCAGAAACCAACACGGATATACTTTGATCTTGGACTTCCAGCCTCTAAGACCTGTGAGAAAATGAAAAGTTCTGCTGTTTAGCCATCCAGCCTGTAATATTTTATTGTGGCTTTCCAAGCAGATGAATGCAGATGTTTTCTTGTACATCTGTGTTTTGAGGGTATTTTTTGTCAGTGTGCTAGGGAGTACAAGAAACCACAGTATGAACATGGTTCTTCTCCAAGGGATGTCAATTTTATAAAATTTGAAGGAAGAAAATATGAACATAAAGCATGAGATTTTAAGTTAAAACATGACTTTCTGAAGAAAGTCCTATCTTCTGCTAGCATCTTTGCTCATTCACACAATTTCTACTTTCTCTGCCATTAGGAGTATTTTGATGGAAAACTTGTTAAGTGTTGCAGTAGGTGAATCTTAACTAATGAGAACATAAACTAGTTTTGGATATAGTTTCTAATAATCATAAGTAGATTGTATCTACAAATAGATTGAAAGAAAAATGTTTTTCTACAGCCATACCTCTATTACAAAGCATGCCATGGATCCAAAAGGAAGGCATTGTGGGGACTGTGGTTAACTCAGGGAAACAATATAAATGAAAGCACAACTCTTTTTTGGAAGGCCTTTTTGGAACACCTGTGGTATTTTCTAAGGTACCAGTTGCATTTCCCTTTCTGGTTTCCCTTTGGTCTTGGTGAAACTGTCAAACAAGATTATCTGTCACCTAGCCAAGAGGCATGCACACATGTGAGTCAGGCTAGGCCAATTCTCTGCTCCTTCTGAGGACAAGAATCTTGAAAAGGAGGGAAGCAGACCCTGAAAATAGTGGGAGATACTTCATTCTGTAGCAGGAAATCTCTGGAAGAAGCTATGGGTCTCTCCATTACATCCTTCTGCAAGAAGCCCTGGGGGAGTTCTGATCTGAAATTTCCCCAAAGGCCTATATGTCAAAAGATTGGTTCCCACCCTGTGGCATTATTGGGAGGTGGTGGAACCTTTAAAAGGTGGGGCCTAGTTGGAGGAAGTTAGGTCACTGGGGCATGCCAATGGAGGAAATATTGGGACCTTGGCCTCTTTCTCTCTCTCTTTGCTTCCCGGCTGCCTGGAGGTGAACAGGCCTTGTCTACTATGTGCTTGCACTATGATGTATTTTTCTAACATGGGCCCAAAGCTATAGGCCAAACTACCATGGATGAAAACCTCTGAAGCCATGAGCCAAAATAAACCTTTCCTTCTTATAAGCTGTTTATCTTTGGTATTTTGTCATAGTGACAATGACTAACGCAATGTCCTTGCTTTGTTTTTCAGTTTTTCTTTGGATTTACCTACCCCAAATCCTTCCAGTAAGTTCTTTTATGCTTAAGTCAATCAGAGGTCATTTTTATTGCATATAGCCAAAAAGCCTGTAGTACCCAGCTTATAGTGTAGACCTATCATACCAATCCTAACTTACTTGATAAAATACTCTATTTGCAGGAAGTTAGTTATGTAAGATTTTATTTGACATTATTATTTGCCTAGGTTTCAGAATAAAACATAAACAAATTACTTTTAAAATGGAAAACAACCTGTTACTAATGTTTTTTTCTACTACTTTAATCCCCACCTCAACTTATCTTAACCCTCATTCCCATTTTGTTTTAAAAAAAAAATGAAAACAAAAACTACTTACAAAAGAGAAGCTTATATATCTAAAGTCTAGTATATTTCTGCTTAAGAGATTAAATGTTGAAAATTGTTTTCTAAGCGGTAAACAAAGCTCATACTTAATCTATTTCATAATCGTAATCATCATCGTCCATGATGAGTTTGATGCTGGAGGAGTCTTCCGGTTTGGGTTTCTTTTTGACCTCTTTGCTTTTCTCGGTCAAGTGTAAGTGCTGCTCGCATTGCTTCATAATCTTCTTGGAAGACATCCAGCTTTCCCCTTGTTGTTCTGCTGGGGCTGCACACCGTCCTCCCTTCACATCTGTGCCCTTGGCCTTCAGTATCTCCCTGGCTCTTAGGAGAGTACAGGTGCAATTCCACGGATTTCCATCCAGGTACAAGTGCCTGAGGCGAGGCAGACCCTCCAAGGCTTTGAGATCTAAGGCAGAGATCTTGTTGTTCCTCAGGTTTAGAACCTGAAGCTGCTTGAGATCCTTGAGCTCCCTCTCAGCAATATCCTGGATTGCATTGCCTTTTAGGTCCAGCCTGGCTAAGGTCTTGGGGAGCCTGCAAAGTATGAAGATAGGATGGGAGAGGAGACCACAACCATCATTCCTCAACCATCAAGGCACCAGAAACTGAGCATCACCTGCCTCTTCTGTACAATTCTTATCAAGTTAGAACGAAAGCTTTATGTTAGAAAGTTAAATATAAGCACCAACTTGTCTGATCCTATAGGTCTTTAACTCTTTTTCATAGGTCTTACTTTCTTTTTTTTAAACCTAAATTTAATGTATTTATTAAAATAACAATTGTGGAACCATCATAACTGTATCTTGTCAGACACAATGAAAACAAAATTAAAACCTAAATCATCAAGAAAAATTGTATTCTTAGCTTCCTTGCATATATAATATGTGACTAGAGAGACAGGGCTGGCCCTGTGACTGGCCCCATAGGAACAGCCCCTGGAAGACAATTCAGCATGATGGGAGGTTGTTCCCAAGAAGACCAAGACAGGGTGGAGCACCATGCCTGGAAAGCTACTAGAGCTACCAGGCACCTCAGGTCATAGGTCTTATTTTTTAACCCCCTGATTTTTCTGGTTCCTAATCATAAAGCTCTTTAAAGTTTTGATTTATAAGATGAAAATGATTAAGATGGTAAATTTTATGTTAGGTATATTTTAACACAACTTTTAAAAATCAACTGAGTGGGGCATGGTGGTACATGCCTGTAATCCCACCAGCGTGGGAAGCTGAGGCAGGAGGATCACGAGTTCAAAGCCAGCCTCAGTAACAGCAAGGCACTGAGCAACAAAATAGAGCTGGAGATGTGGCTCAGTGGGTGAGGGCTCCTGAGTTCAATTAAAAAAAAAAAAATCAACTGAGTCATGTGTCATGAACACAGGAGCCACTTGGAAGGACTCCCGCTGCCAAATTTGGGATAATGAGAACATCAAAAGGGACTAGCAACTGCACATGATTATGACACACTAAATTAAGATGCATGAGGGAGTCTATAGCAGTACTTGAGAAAAAAGAGAGAAAAGGGGAAAAAAGAAAAAAAATTCTATAATATTAAGTAGAAAAATATATAGTCGAATGACCCCAAATATGTGAAAACAGATTATGTTCTTATGTCTAGACATGGTTCTGATTGAGCAATTATAGCAATTATAATTTAAAAAATAAATTAATTTTGGCACACTAAGTTTCCAACCTTGATCAGTTGTTTATTTATAATAATCAGGAGGAAAATTTTTTCTAATACTTTGGATATCAGCTTGATAAATGTCATGCTAATGCCTATTGATAAAAAATCTTTTCAAAAATCAGAATGAACTAGAGACTCTTTCTGTTACATTATTTGCATATAGTTTGAACATATAGGTGTACCTTCATGTATTTAGTATTCAGAAACTTATGGCAGACCCAGCTATATTATTGCTATATGGAAGAGAGAAAGCAAACAAGTTAACCATATTCTATGATAGTACTACCTTTGCTTATTATAGTATTATTCTTTTATGAATATCATTCCTAAAAATGTTCTCAGTTAGCCTAAATTATTGGCAGTTAGCCTAAATTTTGATCTTGGGTTTTCTTTTCTTTTTTAATTAAATCGGTCATTTTATATTTGTACTCATATCCCAAACTACACAGTACCTCAACACACAAAAGCATTTATGCTTTTTTAGTACAGTCACACAACACTTAATGATAGGGGGATACATCGTATGAAATGTGGCATTAGATGATTTCATTTGTGCAAACATCACAACTATTACTGGATGACATCATCTTATGGGACTATTGTGGTATACACAGTGTATCCTTAATAGAATCATTGTTTTGTGACACATGACTCTATTTAAAGCCTTAATTATTTAAAATATCATCTTCTTAGGTGGGATAAAATTTACCTAACAAGGTAGATTAATTTACCAGGGGAAAATATTTTATACTTAGTGGTTTGAGCATTAAATTCAGTATTAAAGTTAATCTTCAAGAAAATACAACTTTACTCATATACCAATTTATAAAAGGTGAGTCTCCAAAAAAATATATGGGAAAATCTCTTATTCATAGTTTTATTTTGTTACTTCCCTAAGGAAAGATGAACTATTCATAGACTTTAGTTGCAACAGTGACTAAGATTCTACTTCCATTGCAGAGGACAACAGGGCCTAATTGGGGAAAAATGGTGTAATAAACCGGAGTCAAAAAATACCTACTTATTAAGACTTGCATTCTAACTTGGGTCATTTTATTTACCACTATGTGGCTTTAGGTAAGTTATTTATGTTCTTGAAGCTTCTGGTTTTCCACCCTAACAGATGAAAGTGCTCATTACACAGAAGTCACATACAAATGTTAGCTAATAAAAATTAACAAGCCATATTTTCTTTTAAATAAATACGATTATTCAGTTCTGGCTGTTTGCAGAAATTGTACATGTTTTTAGGCATCTCCCTTTCTTTCTTTCCTTCCGTCCTTCCTCCCTTTTCCCCTTTTTCATGTTTCTAGTGAAGTTACAGCCAAAATGACGTCATAAGAAAAAATACTAATTATCCTGGTTTTATAAATGTTTGACAGTTACTTTTTGCTTCAATATAATTTGTCTATGTAAATATGATTCATATTAAAAGATTGATGTGATTTGAAGGTAAACATGCCTCTAGAAATACCATCATATATTCTTTGGGTTTTGCCAGTAGATGGTGCTTATGTGTAAATAAGATTAAATGCTAACTGCCTTATGTTGTGAAAAGCTATTCTAAATTTGAATTAACTGAAGGGAGAATAAAAAAGACATGATGTTACTTCTACTTGTTCACTAAGATGCAGATTGGTGAAATGTGAAGCAGCAAAAAGTGAACCCAATATAATTCACCTATTATTGAGGTGAATATATTGGTTATTCTTAGTATAGTATTGTTGACAGTAGAGTAAATCACAAAGGTGGGATCATGAGGTGGCTAAAACTCCCTGGGTCTGGAGTTAAATGACTGTGTTTAAATCCATTTATTAAGGATGTGCATGGAGAGCAAGCTGTGCCTTGCTCTTAGTTACTCCATTTTACAAAGCAGTACTTTGCTATTAGTTATTCCATCTTGAGTACAAATGCTGATGCAAAATCCACTAATCCCTGTTTGTACAAGTAAACAGCCACCATCAGAATAGCACAATCATAAGACAAAAACTAATAAATAAGTGAATTGTGCTCATAAAAAAAAAAAAGACAACCTGTGAACCTGTCAAATTAAATCAGAGGCATATGGAACCATGAGTATATCAAACCCAGGTCAAGGAAACCAGACACAAATAATGCAAAACCCTCATCTAAAACACATGAAAAGGTCTGGGATTGTAGCTCAGTGGTAGAGTGCTTGCCTTGCACTCGTGAGGTCCTGGGTTCAATCCTCAGCACCACATATACGTAAATAAAATAAAGATATTGTATCCACCTACAACTAAAAAAAAATTAAAAAAAAAAAAACACATGAAAGGAGAGACAACTAAGATGGTGATATGGTGGCACAGACTGACCGGTCATCAGTCCATCTGGTGAACACTTTATGACGCTGGCAGACAACACAAACTACTGACTTTATCCTGAGACTTCAGCTTGGCTCCATCTCCCTGCTTGCATAGCCTCTTTCCAAATTGCCTGCCATCCAGACACTGGCCTAGAATAAGTTCTGTGTGTCCTGTCAGCTCTGCATCCTGAAAGAATTCTTTGGTTCCTAATTTTATCTGACTACCTGCAGTGACTCTTTGCATTTGAATCTGCTGTCTTTGCTTTCAGTGTGGCTTTAAAAATCCTGTAGCTGTCTTAACCCTTTCTTAGCCCTTCCATAAGCTATTTATCATTATGTAAAGTATTGTAATTTGTGACTTGAGTGTTAGAGATGATAAAATTAAGATTGGAATAAAGAACCTATGATTGTCAGCTCTTGGGACTAAGTGACCCATGAGTATTCAGTGAATTACAACCAGTGGAAGTAATATAGCTTGTGAATTTATTGTTATTCAATAAATTCTGACATTGTGGAAAGACATAAATGTATCCTGTGTTAATGGCATGGCTCTCTTATGATAATGAATTTCAACAGGTTTCTTATTACCTCTAAGTCTTAGTGTCCTAATCTGTAAAATAATAGGTCAAACAATGAACTTACTTTTATAGGATTGTTGTATAGAGTACAAAGAATAGCAAATGGATTTATAGCAACTTCATTGCTGATTTTAGCAAGCATGTAATAAATGCTAGATATCATTTACTATTATTGAGGTGAATATAAACACAAAATTTATTTATGTTTTTTGAGTATGTGTGCACCCCAAATCATGTACTATTATGTTCTAGATGAATTGTGGAATGGAGGATGATAGGAAAAAGAAGGAGCTCATGAAAATCCTATTGTAATAGGAGCAGGTTACTATGTATAGACAACTGAATTTTATAGTACAGATTTTACATATGAATAAGAAGCATGAAAATAAATAGAAAAGGTGTGCTGTTTAAAGGTCATAAATAAAAATGTTTAAACTCAAATATAGGGAATGAATATTATTATGTTTTTGTTCTTTATCAGAGGAAAACCACAGAGAACCTTTTCTGGATAATTCTCACTGTCTAGTATAAAGAAAAGTCATGGAGTGGGGGTGATAATGCTGGGATGTGCTTAAAAATCACAGGAATTCTGTTATCTTATGTGGCCAAGTTCCTTGATGGAACATACAGTTGTGTTGCTTAAATTAAACTTCATGAAAATCCCACTCCCACCTCCCAAGCTCCATTGTTGCTGAGTGGTTCTCAATCCCAGCTGCAAATTAAATTAATTTGAGGAGCTATTCAAAAATACCGATGCCTGGGTCTCAACCCTGGAGCAGCTGACTTAACTGGTTTGAACTAAGGCCTGGGTATGAGTATACTTTTTTATGCTTTTCTAGATAATTATATTGTGAAGTCAGATTTGAGAACTATGGCTAGTTGAGGTTTGCAATTTTATTATATACTCCACTGAATAAAAGCATTGTGTTTTCTCCAGTCCCTTATAAACACACAAGTACTCTCATAGGAGTATATAATTAAGATGTTTTTACTCATTAAACTTAGCAGGATTAGTTAACTAAATGCTTTCTAAAAGTCACTGAGTAGAAAAGTCCATTGACTATACCATTTTGCCCATGGCTGTCACAGCCTGCTGTCATATCTTTATGTGACATAGTCACCTCTTATCCTGATTTATGGGTTTTTATTTTTATATACATTTTTTTTTCTTAAAGTAGGACCATTCAGTAATATAAAATAAGGCTACTAAATAAATTATTTAAATAGCAAGTATTAGGCTTGTTCTTGCTTTAGAGGCTAGTGTTGGCTGTTCTTCTATTTAAGACACATTTCTCCAAAAATACTTCATGGCTAAATCCCTCACCTCTTCCAAGTCTTTGCTGAAATCTTACCTTTTCATAAGGATTACTGTGCTTACCCTAATTAAAATGGCAACCAGCCACTCCATCTTCTACTCTGCAGACCTGGTATATTTGTGTCTTTTTTGTTGTTATAACTATAATATCAACATGGTCTAAATGTTATATACTTTACTTATATATTACATTTATTGTCAGTCTTCCCCTGTTAGAATTTAAGCTGTACAAAACTGCAAATTTATCTCTTTTATTACATTTGTGTTCCAAGTACCTGGTACTTGACATGTGGTAAGTTTTCAAAACAGGAAAAGAGAAGGATGAGGAAGGGGAGAGGGAAAGGAAGTGAGGAGAAAGGAAAGAATAGAGAAAAAAAGAGCTAAAGAGATAGCCAAAAACAGAAAGTAAGACCATCACAGATGGACTCACTCACTCATACAGACACATGAAGAAATAAGCAGAGCCAGCTTAAGCCCTTTAAAGGTCAGAGCACTGAGAATATGACGCCCCTCAATAAATAATTCAAAACAAATACAGAATTACACTGTAAAGTTTTGATTTTCCTCCATAACTACTACGTAAATGATTTTAAAAATATAAATTTTAATGTCTATGCCCCCTCAATTTTTCCTGGTATCCTTGCTAGTGGCCACTCATGCATGCTCTGCCTGTTGGTTATCTATACCACATACTTAGAAGTCTTGATGATTTTTACAATATTATCACATTCTGTTTGTATAGATATCAACAGTTGGAATCTTGTCCTACATACGAGATAAATTAAGTTAGTATTGGATTCAGTTTGAAGGCTGCAGATTCTAAACCTCTGCTTAAAATTTCTATCCCTAAGCCTTTGTTATGTTTGCTGACTCATTTTGTTGTTTGTGCAATATGCTGCTATGTCCCAATCTTTGGAAAATGCTCATAGTAGTTACAATAAATGACAGCACTCACTTACCTTAAAGGTATAGACAACAGCAGGTTCTGCTCCAGGGCCAGGTTGGACAGCTGAGAACACTTCTGAAGGGCCCCAGCTTCAAATAAGCTGACAACGTTATTGTCCAGAAACAGATGTTTCAAGTCTGGAAGGTCCTGAAAGTCTTGTGCTGTAACTTTCTGGATCAGATTGTTGCTACAGTCAAGCTTCTGTAGCCTTACTGGTAGTCTGAAGGGCAGTGTTTGAAGTTGGTTTTGGGATACCTCAAGAGTAGTTAAATTGGCAAGGATCTGTGCCCCATCAATGGAAGAGAGGAGGTTCTCTGACAGGTAAAGATGGGAAAGGTTCTCCAAGTGTTTCATATCTTGAAACCTAACCACTTTGAGCTGGTTTCTCTCCATCTTTAAAGATAGCAAGGATTTGGGTAAATTAATAGGAATTTTAGTTAGAAAATTACCACTGAAACTGAGAAACTGCAAAGACTGCAGAGAAGTAAAGAAGCCACCTGATATACGATGTAGCTTATTATTCTCCATGCTCATGTGTTTCAGATGGGGAAGAATGAAGGGTCCAGTTACAGACTCTATATTGTTATCATCCACCATCAAACTTTGCAAACTGACAAGGGAGGAGAGCATGCTGGGAGACAGGGAGGAGATCAGGTTGTTTTTAAGTTCAAGGACTTTCAATTTCTTCAGTCCTTCAAAATCTGATCCATGTAGGACATATATTGAGTTATCATTTAGTTTTAACACTTCGAGACTGGCTGGGAGAGCACTGGGGACTCGTCTTAACTTATTTTTCCAGAGTTCTAAGGTCTTCAAGGTATTCAGAATTTTGAAGGTGTCATTTTCTACAGACTCTGTTCCACTGGCCAGAAGAATAAAATCTTCCAGAGCCAACATTCTGGTGAAGTTAGATTGCTACAAAAGATACGGGGCAAGGAAGGGGAAAAAACAAGATTGTAGTGAAAAAATTCCTTATAAATTATTGTTATGATGCTAATGATACTCCAGATTTCCTTTCAGGTTCTATTTAAAATGACCTCTTGGAAAAGGGCTGATACTTAGATCCTGACTACTTTTATTTATGATTTCTAACATCCATTTAAGATATTAAAAATATTCTAAGCACTTTCACACACTTTAGACATATAATATTGGCCAATTCTTACTGTGTATTCTCTGACCCCACAAATTTGCTTCTAGGCAGAAGTATTTACAAATTGCACAATGATCTATTGTGCACTAGAGTGTTCTTTTGTTGCATTATCTTATCATAGCCAGAAATCGAACAATCTATAAATCTTTCACCAAACTATTAACAGTTTGTAATTCTTTGTAAGACTACAAGAATATTTGAGTTGCTTGGACTTTTGAAATTATGACATTTTAAAAATGTTTTCCCTTTAAAAAAATTAAAACTTTCAAATGTTCTAGATTCCACTATCAGTAAGATATACTTACCTGAGAAACATTTTCAGCTATATTATAATTTGGAACATGAGCTTACCTGTTTCCTATCCACGGTTTGCACTTTGCCAATTAAAAAATCCACAAAGAAACGAATTTATAAATGAATCTTCCGCCATCTCTAAAGAGCTTCATTCATCCAAATATTCCAGAACTAATGCTATTCTTCTCCAAGAATTTACATAACTACTAATTCTGATATATTCCCTCATGTTTTGCAAGTTCCTCCATCTGTCCACGTCTGCCAACCTCCTAGCTTAACATCCACCTTTTTTCCTTCAATGATACAATCATTTGTATTTGGTTGTAAGAGTATGGTTGTATTTAAACAGAAAGAATTGCTAAAAGTTTTCTTCAGGTTGCTAAATATTTACAAAATTTTCAATCTTCTGTAGAATTTGATTTAGTTGAAAATTTCAGTGTACAATTTTATGAATTTTACTATCGATAGTCTTTAAATATTTGATATAACTATGCAGTTGAGCCCTTTTATAATACCAATGTATGACCTTCAAAGTGAGTTCATTTTGTATCACATTTATTATAGGTATCTATATTGTGGAAAGACATATGATGTGTATTATGGTACATAAGCATCTTCTAGTATATTATTCTTTTAGAAAAATCCCATAAATGGATGGGATTAACATTTCCATTAATGGAAGTTTTTACTCCTAATTTTTTGGCAGCTGCCTTGCATTATATATTGCTGTCAATATTTGACATTTTCTTAAGAATTAATCAGTTGTATTAATTTGTCTATTCCCCAAATGCTTGCAATTTTATTCTTGCATTTGTTGAGTATGTACAATGCCAGTGCTTCTGTTTTTGTTTGCAGGCCAGGCCAACTCTCTACCACTAAGCTATATTCCCAGCCCCCAAGTGCTTTTTTATATGTTATCATCAATCTTCTGATAATGTTGCAAGTTTGCTCTCGTCAACACTAGCTTCCTGATAAGGGTATTAGGAAATGAAAGAGTGAAGAACTGAATAAGGTCTATGTGCTCTAAAGCTTTTTCTTTCTTGGTGTCACCATTTCATTTTCTATTGCATTTGACCTAAAATTAATGTTTTTTAAAAAAGACTCAAGACCTGAACACAAATCAAAAAGTTTTCAAAAAACAAATATTTTATCAACTAATAAGTCTAAGTCTACCATTTCAGCGGTAGATTTCAGGCCACAAAAAGTTAAATGATCTGCTTAAAATTCAAGAGATCTTTAATCTGGGTTCCATTCTGAAAGGTTCCATTCTGTCACATGAATTCAGAAGTAGCTGTAGTCATGGATCTTTACTTCTTGGACTGCTGAACTCCCAAAAGAAGAACCTGATGTTACTAATACTTCCACTTGTATGCAAATGACAGCAAACTCTGAAAGATTGCTGACTATGTGGTAAGTCTGAGAGATGACAGGAATCTGGACAGGCAATTTATTTTGGAACTAGACAAAGTGTGATGTCAAAATTTCTGTTTGTTTGCCTTTCTATTTATGATGTATAGAAACTAAGGGGAATCAAAACTAGACTTCATATTTTTAACCTGAATCTAGTAGCTAGCTTTTTTCCTTTAAGTAAAGAAAACATGTTCATTTTCTTTTTTGTCAGACTCAATAAAGATTAGTTTTAATTATTATTATTAAAATGGCTACCATTTTCTAAGCATTTACAAAGTTTAATCTTTATAAAGCCCTATATATACACATAGCATTATTATTGCTGTTTCAGAGAAACTAAGGCTTAAGAAAGTGAAATCACCCATCCAAATTCATCCTGCTAGCAAGAATATAAAGTCCTGTGTCACAAACAGTGAGGAAGATACCCACTGATTTTCAACTTTCCTATGGGGTTTGCAGAGCTATTAATGGGTGGAAGAATCTGCCAGACCTAATGTTTTTAATTTCCATGGCCTCAGCATGTATTCACGAGATGTGAAAAGAGAAGCTTTTGCCCTAGAGCTAACCTTGGAGCTGCTGACAGCTTATTCAATGTTGCTTTAAAAAACAAGGCAAGTAATGTGAAGTAGAGCACAAGGTTGCTCCTGCTGGCTTTCCCACAAAAGGCTTTGTTTCTAGTTTCCATTCAGTGCAGGCTCTACTCTGAGCAGTAGAGGGCCACACACCCTTCTTGGGATCCTTATAGGTCCAATGTGCCATATACCCACAGAGACCTGGCCCCAGACCTGTGTAAACCAAGCCAGTGAAGAGTTTGTAAAATAACGTTGGAATTGAACATTTGTTCTGTAAAAACCATCTTAAAATCCTGGAAAAATATGGGAAGAAAATAAAAATAATTCATAATCCCACTACTTGTTATAAACTGTTTATGTGTGTCTTACCAAGGAGAAATTAGATGCAGTTTCTCCTTTCATAAAAGATGTAAATAGAATCATTTTAATTGTCTGAAAATACTGTCTGCAAGTGCAAACTACATTTGCATTTGTCCTCTGCCTTTGAAGAGAAAATGTCCTTTGGCTTGTGTGAATGGTAATAATGAGGTAAATTTAGTTATGTTTTGCATGTGTGGACACAAAGAACTGAGCTAAGCCTGCATGCCTCAAAATAGGAGTGGCTTGGGTAGACTGAAATATGAATATTCATAGCAACATCACTCATAATAGCAAAAAAGAAGAAACAATTCAAGTGTCCAGTAGCTGATGAATGAATAAATGACATTTAGTATATACATATAATGGAATCCAGTAAGCCTTAAAGTGGAAGGAAAGGTTTATAAGTGCTACAACATGGATGAACCCTGAGGACATGCTAAGTAAAAGAAGTGAGTCACAAAAGATCACAAACTTAGAGGAAAAGACTGAATTCAGTTTGGGACATGTGGTTTTGAGATCCTTCTCATATATCTAAGAAGTCCAGTGGGCATCTGGATAAATCTGAAACATGGGAAGTCTGCATTAGAAATTCAATTATGGGAGCCATTGTCACTTAGATACAATGAGGTCACCTAAGCAGAGCTGATGTAAGAAGAAAAAGAATGGCTGAGGATTGAGATTCCTTGAAGATACTCCAAAAAGGGAGGAGAATTAGAGGAAAGGAAACTACAAAATAATAGAAAAGACATATAAGAAAGGAATAATGAGGACATAAAAGTATGGTATCACAGAAGGCAAAAAAGTAAGAATTTCTGGAAAATAGAAGTGAGCAATCATGCTTTAGAATAGTTTAACTGTGTGGCATAGATAGAAACCAGACATGAGTGAATTTATAGATAATAAGTAAATAAGAGTGAAAATAAGAATAAATAAGACTGAGGCCTTGCTGGATAGGTGTTGAGATAACTAATTGTGAAATGCAGAGAGGAAATTAGTAGGGAAAGAAGCGAGAAAAGAAATACACTGATTATCTGGGAGAGCATGGGCAAGTATAAAGGGTAAGAAGTCTTTACAAGGTACAAAGATAATTGACAGCTAAAAGACAAGGAGATAATGACCAAATTCAAGATCTTGTCGGTAAAGAAGTCTGATACTTGATTATGATATGACTAAGTGATAAAATCAGGATGGCTGAAATAAAGTTGAAATAAAGGTAGATACTTGTTTTTATGAGTTCAAGGAAGTGTGAGACTGGGACATTGGACCAGCCATGCACATGGACATTAAAGTTGCCCAAGAAGGGCTGGGATTATAGCTCAGTGGTAGAGGGCTTGCTTCACATGAGTGAGGCCCTGAGTTCGATCCTCAGAACCACAAAAAATAAATAAATAAATAAAAATAAAGGGGGGAAAATAAAAAGACTGTATCTAACTTGAAAAAAAAAGGTGCCCAAGAAGATGCAGGCCTTAG